CTCCTTGATTAGTTTCCACCCAAGAGCTTGACTCCCTCTTTTTTGTGGCAGCCCCTGAGATATTGGAGCACTGCTCTCATGTCTCCTCTAGTCCTTCTTTTCATTAAGACTAGACATACCCAGTTCCTGCAACTATTCTTCATATGTTTTAGCCTCCAGTCCCCTAATCACCTTTGTTGCTCTTCTCTGCACTCTTTCTAGAGTCTCAACATCTTTTTATATCATGGCAACCAAAACTGAATGCAGTACATTCAGATATTTTTATTATGGTTCTTAATAAATTTGGTGTGTTCCACGGACCTCTTACCTGGAATGACTCTGCAGCTAATTAATACATGACAAGAAATAAAAGCAGCAAACAGTTTTGATCAAGCTTGTGATACAATAATTGTCACCTATCACTGTCTAGTTTTTAAGAGGCTGGATTACAGTCCATGCTTGCCTGAGGGAATCGCTGAGTCTTCAGACAGTGAATTTGTTTCAGCCTAATTTACCTTACTGACTTGTAAAGAAAATTAGTGTAGGAAGTGCAGTGTGTGTCACTATGAGCTCTTGGAGGAAGGTGGGATAGATTTCGAAGAAATAAATATGCCATTTGCCTGATTCTGGACCTTTTTACCATCTATTTTAGAAACCAAGTATAGGGAAAATGATTCTTCATAATGAGTTGTTTTCCTTTCTTTCTTTTAATGTGTGTGCCTTTGAGACAGTTTTTAATTCCTGAATTAGTTTTCTTGCCAAGATTTTTCAGACGTGGGTAGTCCTTATCTGCTTCCCAGGGCTGAGAGAGAACTGCCCAAGGTCACCCAGCTGGCTTTGTGTGCTAGTTTTTATCCTGTTGTCTTAACCCCCACAGTACAGCAAACCAGCTGTCTTGTCTTGATATTATAAGAGTATAACTCAGAAATTTCCATTTTCTCCAATGTAAAAAACCAGTGTAAACAACTAACTTATGTATTGATACTAAAGGTTTGTTTTCCATGGAAATTCCCAGATGTTGGGATAGTACCAAACATTCATTATTTTGATTACACAACAGGTCTTTTGTTGGCATTGGAATTGGAAGATTAATTTTAGATACTTAATTGGGAATTATAGTGAAAAGGATAGAATTGGCAACTTAATATTTAAGTTAAAGGTTTAGGAGCAAGAGGGAAAAATTATTGCTTCCATGTAGATTAACAGAACATGAAACTTTCTAATATACATTAATATTAATGAATAGATAAAGTAACAGGTCTCAGTGGCTTAATTCATTTGTGGCTAATATGAGAGATAAAATCTTAGAAGTACATTTTACTCACTGAAAACTGCACTCATTTAATAAGTATAACAGTACATTCTATATTTCAACAGTTAACATGAATGATATTTGATTGGTATTTAAGGGGAAATTGACGTCATAACCTATAGAAAATGATTCGCCTACATACTAGTTGTCCTCCAGATGGAACTAAGTCACAGTTAATTTTGGGTCTGAATAATAAGAAAGATGACTCATAAAAATTCATGCTCAAGTTGATAATATATAATATTATGTAAGATCTCCTGAAATCTAGTCTGTTCACATAAAATCCCACAATTTTTGGACTTAGCTATTTGTCAGGATAAAAATTCAAAAACTTATGTTAGAGATTTCTGCTGCTGATATAAACACAAAGCTTGCTAGTTTAACCAAATAAGACATGTGATTCTCTAGAATATTTATTCCATATATTTACTGCTTTAGGGTATTTTAGTTTTGCCTCTTTGAAACTGCTATTGGTGGAAAAGCATGTTTGACTAGAGATTACCTGATGCTTTGTCTTAAAGCAGAAAGAGATAAAGATACTGGACAGTAACAGGACTCTGTTGATGTGATTATTTAGGAATATTGGGCCACTAATTCTCGTACCAGAAAAAATAGTTAATTTTTTATTTATCTTAATATAAAATGATGTCTTGAAATAGTTTATATTGCATTCAAATGGGTTAAAGTGATCATTCTGATGCAGAATAATATAGATAATTCATATTATTTATTTGACTGTGGACCCATATTTTGGTAGAAGCTTACAGCAGTAGACAGATTTACAAGAATTTGCACTATAAATATGAGATTAACATATAGGTCTTGATACATTTGCCCAAGGTAAAACTACTCTAAAATTAATATGTGGTTAAAACATTGTAATAACGATAGTGAATGAAGAACAGCCACTGTCATCTATTCGTTATTCCTTTGACTAAGACTTTAGTCTCTGCTACTTAAAAAATTGATCCTTCACCTCATTAATTTTTTGTTAATATGCTCAAATGGTGAATTTAAAGGTACATGGGAAACATTTACAGGAGATTTTCTGAAAGAGGCAGGAACAAAAGACATGTCAAGTTGCATTTTAGTTTGCATTCCAAATCTACTGAGCAGGGTTCTTACAAATCAAGTTCTTTCTTGCCTGCCAGACACTGCATTTGTTCCTCAGGTCTGAATACTTTTGACAGTCCATAATGTTAATTGTGCTAAGATAATTAGAAGCAGAATATTCTTCACAGTTTTCAGGTATACTTATATAAATTATATAACCTTATAACATCATCCATACATTTGTCCCAGCATTTTCAACATCTTGGTTGTTGCTCATTGTCTCTGTTTTAGCAATTTGCATTTATGAACTTCCAGAATAGAACACTGTTCAGATTATATTGTTCTGCCTGTATTGCTTTCTTTCTAACAACTATGGATCATGTAGAATGGTTTCAGCTTTGCTGTGATGGAAACTATGCCCCAGTTGTGGAATTGTTAAAATTCTGACAAGTTTTCACACATGGTTTTAATGGCCAGTTGGCCAGTATTACAGTGTATTGTAATATAGAAAACATATGAATATTTAGTTTACTTTATTGTCATTGCACCTCGTACAAAGAAATCAAACACCATCTTCAGTGCACATCATGACCATGAAAATAAACACAAACACACATCCTTCACACTCCACACATTGAATTGAAAACCCCGACACTACACCAACACTGCACTATACAGTAGAATATTATACATACATACATACATACATACATACATACATACGTGTGTGTGTGTGTGTGTGTGTGTGTGTATATATATATATATGGATCTTTGGTTATTCGGGTTTTCTCCCGCGTAAGAATAACCAAAGATCCACATACAAATACCCGCGAGAACCTCAGAAAA